TTTATGATCTAAAATATTTAGATTTCAAAGATAACTCGTATACCAATTGTCAGCCTAAAAACTATAATTATATTATTATATAAAAAAAATTAATACTAGAAATTAAAATCAAATAATCATATATCAAATATTATGAGTGTGTACCTTTCGTTATCATTCTAAATATCTATTTTTTAATTTGTAAAAGCATCGTTGTTCGATTTGAAAGAAGCAACAATATCGATCTATAAGGAGAACTAGACTTGTCTTCTCAATTCTTCCTATTTTTCATGTGATCACTATGAGCAATAGAATAAGAACTAACGGAGATTAAAAATAGATTTATAATCTCAATTTCTAATGTTTTATCCATCGAATATCCTATCCTTTTACATGCAAGAGTAGAGGATCTAGATAGTAATTAAAAAAAAATTCATCAAAATCATCTCCTAAATAATTCTATAATAAGTGAACTTTATTTTTATTGATCAATAATCATAATCATAATTTAATTATATTTATATTTATCTAATTGGTACCATTCTTGTGGCCATAGTCTCTTCATCGTAGAAGTTGTGGGATGAGGCCAAAGGCAAAAAAAGTAAACAAACAAATTCAATGATCATCTCATTCCTCTGTTTTTAATCTTGGGCGCCTGATTAGCTGAGCCTAGTAAGATAAGTACGGTGACCATATAAAACAAGTAAAAATGATCACGTCGAAAGGGTGTAGGTCTTCGTTCTCGCACTGGGACAGACGTCGACAGCGTGAAGCTGACTCAGATGTAAATTAGTAGCCTATAGATATAAAATGCTTTTTTTGTTTTGTTTTTGGTGATGAATGATTTGAATCTATAAAGTACCACCGGCGCTTACTTTCTTGTATTCTATAAAATAGAAAGCTGCTTCTTTTGATTACCAGGTAAATGATGAGCATATACGAAGCTTCGAAGAACTCTCAGTCCTTGGCTCATCCTATATTTTATAGACATAAGTTGCACACTTTGTGAACTTCGATTGTTCTTCTCAGGGTGCAATGAACTTAAAACCATGTGGAGTTGCCTATTGGTCGATCACATTTTCTCAGGTTCCTCTGTCAATTGCTTTCACGTTATATGTTCTGTATGAGAAAAATAAGAAGAAGAAGAAGAAGAATTGTCGTCAGCAAGAAGAAGGCGAGGTGAGTCGACTGGACTGGCATGGATCTAATTTGGGAATCGACTCGTCCACGGATCATCTAACGAGTTCGCAGCCTATTTTATCCCAGGACAAAGCAGGAACAGGGATGGCGGCACTTCCCATGTTTGTCTTTCCATCGGCGGCACTATCAGCAGGGGCTTTGAGTGGCCTCTTTGGCATTGGTGGAGGATTGCTCCTGAACCCCGTGCTTCTTCAGATTGGGATAGCTCCTCAGGTGAGACTTGTTTTCTGGACTTTTCCTGGTCTAAGCAAACCAGTGACTTTAAAAACGTGGCAGCTAAAGCTACGTTCTGAAGGATTCTCTTAAAAGCTAAGTAGAATCATGCAGAAGATTCTTTTTGGGTATCTTTCTTATACCAGCGGCAATTGAGGACTTTTATCTGATTTTTGCTTAAGGAAAATGCAACTTTATTTGCCATTCCAAGTTACCAGTAGTAGCCCAAGGCATAAACGGATACTTCAGCTATGAGTTTGAAATATGCACGTAGAGTAGTTCATTCGTGCAAGTATACACACGTTTCTATGTTTTATCGTCACCGGACGAGTGTTGTTGGATTGTCCGCTAACACACTCCCTGGCTCTTTTGGTAGACTGCAGCAGCAACGAGCACTTTCATGGTGATGTTCTCGGCCTCGATGACCGCCCTTCAGTATGTAATCCTGGGCATGACGGGAATCGGTCGAGCTTCGGTTTACGCAGCACTGTGCTTCGTCGCTTCAGCTACTGGATTGGTGGTCATGAAAAGAATCATAGTGAAGTCAGGCGGCCGAGTGTCTCTTACTGTGTTCACAGTCACTGCGGTGATGTCACTCAGCACCATCACCGTAGTTTGCTATGGCACGGCCGATGTATGGAAAGAGTACACGAGCGGAAGGTACATGGGCTTCAGACCACCATGCTAGGTTTGCACAGACCTCGGCTCTGCTAATTACCATGTTAAACCCAAACTTTGAGCACTACTGTCCTGGGTTTAAGCTCTTTTCTTTAGCACCCTGGGTTTTTTTTTTTTACACTTGTTTCATAATAAAGAAGGTTAATAAGCTCGAAAACTTCAAAGATTAAAAAAAAAAAAAATTTGTCCATTTTCTCTGTGGAACTCAAGTCACCGAATCTTTGGGAGATTGCAGATTAAAGTTAATCGAGCATGCATGCACATTTTAACTGCAAAATTGTGAAAATAAATGCATCGGTGACATAAGATAAAGGAGACTATTCAGCAACCGGAAGGATAATAAATGCAATGGTACAGAAGAACAGTACCGTATTCTATCTAATCAACACCTTCAAATGGTCATCGTCCTTTGATCACGATCCAAAATCTAATCGAATTAGTACGACTGTCTAGTCGTACCATCATAGGAGACACAAATAATCATAAGAATACGGTATGAGATCTTTATCAGATACACTCCCGACGAAGGATCATTATCGAATCCGTCATCTCTTTGATGCTAGTAGATCTGTGACAAGTTCAAGTTTGGAGCACGAACGTAGGTTTGATTCGAGTTCCCGATGCGGCCACATCGACTAAAATTCAAATGAGTAACAGTCGCATGAACGGAGCCTATAGCCGAACCTGACGGGCCGACGCTAGAAGCAATAGCGGCTGCAACCAACAGTGTGGAGATCACCACCGTCCTTGAGGAAGACAGCAGCATCGATCCTTGTCGTCCATGCGTCTGCCGATCCGACGGCCCTCCGCATTAATCCGTGTGCTCCTACGTCATTGGACTCGCATCCCCCGTCGGTGCGCTATATAAATGTGCGCTGGTCGAACCATCCGTTCACTCTCACTAAATCGAGTGCTTTCTCTCTCTTTGTCCGATTCGAGTTTTGAAGAGCGATGGCGGGAAGAGGGAAGACGTTAGCCTCGGGTGCGGCGAAGAAGGGGACGTCGAGGAGTAGCAAGGCTGGCCTCCAGTTTCCGGTTGGCCGGATTGCGCGGTTCTTGAAGGCCGGCAAGTACGCCGAGCGAGTCGGCGCCGGTGCCCCGGTCTACCTCGCCGCCGTTCTCGAGTATCTTGCTGCTGAGGTTTGTGTCTCTTTGGATCTGTCTTTCTTCTATTCTCATATGGCCATCTTGATCTCCCATCCATCTATATTGTCATTAGAGTTAATTTCTACAAGACGAAGACTGATATATTTTTTTTCTCTCTTTTTTGGGGTTGCTTTTGAGCATTAGTTGCCAACACTTTTGGAACTCTTTGTTTGACATGCATATATGAAATCTCTCTTTCTTTACGTCTAATTACTTTGCGCAAGCAACTTTGGGTTACTGTCTTTTCTTCTATACTCATTCTTTTGTTGTAAGGAGTTGGTTAATTAGCAATCACCGAGTGCATGTGGATGGTGGTGGGCATGTTTAGGTGTTGGAGCTGGCGGGCAATGCAACGCGGGACAACAAGAAGACTCGGATCGTGCCCCGCCACATCCAGTTGGCGGTGCGGAACGACGACGAGCTGACGAAGCTGCTGGGCTCCGTCACCATCGCCAGCGGCGGCGTGATGCCCAACATCCACAATCTGCTACTCCCCAAGAAGACCTCCAAGCACTCCGCCGCCGGCGATGACGAGAGCTAAGCCTCGTTGCTGGAAGATTTCTAAAAAAGGAAAAAGGGGCGGCTGCCGGCCTGCTCCGTCACGGTGACCGATCAACGACGTGCTCTCTCTAATTAAGTGTCTTACTCTCAGAAGATGATTGCTTAGGAATCGGGTAGCGGCTTGGAGCGGGAAATACCGTGTACATAGCGGCGTGCCGATGTGTGATTTCATTTGCTTTGTACGTCCAAGGTGTTGTGTGCTCCGCAAAAATGGTCGGATTCCTGAATGTGTCGGATTAGTTAGTCAGGCCACATCGTGATGTCTGCCTGGTTTGGCGCAATGCTCGATGAGACCGGGATGATTCCGCAGGCGAATCGCTGATGCTGTTTAACAGAGGGCAGCTTGGTTTGGATCGGAAGCGGAGCACCGTTTACCTGGCGGAGGAACAGTTTACGCGTCCATCGTCTCGTACCAGGAGACACATGCATGTTAATGATCGCTGACGTGCAGTAACATCGAAGAATGGGTTTTCTGCACCTTACGATGAGGGATTATGCCTGACTCGAACCTTAATCATATGTTTATTTTCCCACTCATACACAAAAAAAAAAAAAAATGATGCGGATCACTGCGTGTGTCGAGGTGAAGAAGATTCATGCGGCGGCGGCGACTTCGGTCGCCCGAATGCAAAAGCAGCGGGCGACGAATGTCATGCGGAATAGCTCGACGTGCTTCGTCTGCGTTCAGAAGTCGGCTAACGATTACAGGCCGAATAAACAAAATTACTTGGAATTTGTTTTTTATTGTTTAATACTTTGTCTTCCAAGATGAATCTCGGGTTTGTTGCAAATCTAGAATTGGAGAAGTCCACCGATGTTGCTCCACCCTCGACAGTAAATGTCCTATCGACTGAGGCTCCGGTGGCACAACGTCACGAATGACAGTGAACGCTTGACCCATTCAAGTCTGGATACACTGTATGGAAATGGTGCAGCTGAAATCGTAAGTAGGTGCGAAGCAAGTAAAGATGAATAAATAAAGCAAGCAATAGGCTTGCCTGATTGGTCTTTATCCTGTCGCACACTTTGGGCAACCATCCGTTCAACCCGATCTTGTAGTTGTTGATCATCGCATGGGGAGGAACCATAGCAGGCAAGCAGGCAAGACATCAAATAGTTGACCGTGTCTTCTATTCGATTCCATCGTTGACCTCTTTTCGTGATAGCAAATAATATATAGTTTTATCTAAAAAAAAAGAAAGAAAAGAATCCTTCTAGGCGTCTGGAATGCAATGGGCTTTCAGAATGGGACATATTCATTCGACTTTTCTGTCCGGCATTTTATCAAGTATTGGGCTGAAAAGGATTGATTGTTTACCATCCATCCCCTCTCCGGCCACCGAACACGGCAAATGCTTATTCGACAAATTTGAGGCTATGTGGTGATTGAGTTCAACAAAGATGAATTGCGCGGCAATCACCTCGATCTCTGATGTTTCATAAATCTGTTTTATCAACCGTGGGAGATTTCTAACTGAAAAAAAGAAAGATGATGATATGTACAAGGCAGATCTTGAAGAAGGCCGCCGTTATTAATTATGTATGTACATGGCGGGCGAAGCTTTAGAAAATGAAGGCCGCCGGAGCAAAAGCGGGAACAACCGCAGCCACCGCATACTGCCTGAAACACATCACACACGGAAATCTTAGTCCGAACAGTAAATACTCGTTATGCAGAGTTTTATGGATGGCGCCATGCATCACAGCATAAAATATGACACACGTTATAATGCATTATAACAATAATATGGACCATCACAAATATTCCATGGATGATGATGATCCACAAGTCAGCAGTCACACTGTGCTATAACATACTGAGATTTAGACGCCGGTCACCGTCTTTTGCAAGTGCCTAGTTATTTTTTTCACTTCAGGGATAGGTAAAATGATTTCAGTCAGTATGTAATGCCGTTTATAAATCGAAAATCGTTTAACCTCTCATTCTCAAGAGATAATGAATACTAACTTCTTCTTCTTCTTCTTCTTCTTCCCCTCTGAGAAGATAACCTATAATGAAAAAAATGCTGACGAAGATATGTATAAAAGACCCAACCAATAGTAACGTAAATTGTTTTTCGTTCAAATAAATGAGAATGGGGGACGCAATTTAATTCTGTAATAAAGATCGGACAGAGACCCAACAACCTCTCTTCCTTCAACCGTAGGTGTGATTGCCCACCTTCCTTTCCCTGCTGGTCTGTCTCCCACCTTGAATTTAGGAAAATTTTGCAGAGAATCTAACCATTTATTCTCTTATATATTTTCTATTTAACCAATTTGGATAGATATCCTTTGGTCCACTCGGTGGAGGCTACGTTATCTACTAACCGAGAAAGCGGACACACACACACACACAGAGGAAGAGAAGGCGTCTTGCATGTATGAACTGTGATGAGAGAAGGAGAAAACAAAAAATCTACAACTCCGAAGAAGCTACCCACTGCAATTAGATTCTATGGGGAATGGGAAACGTTGTCTTCCTACGCCGAGAGAGAGAGAGAGAGAGAAAGAGAGCTGATTGATTACCCATGGTCGTCCTTGAAGGGGCGCGGAACAAACCTACGCGTCGCTTGGGCTTTCGCCTTCCGCGGTCCGCCGCCACCCTTGGGAGCCGCCTTATCCCCCATCAGCGCCGCGTCCTCTGAGATCACGACCAACGACGGCCGCCACGCCGACGCCCTCCTCCGGCGCTTGCCCTCGCACTCCTTGGCTGCCGGCGCCTCCTTATCCGGCCGTATGGCTCGCCGGCCGCAGGGGAATTCCAGTAGCCTCATATCGCCCTCTGTCGAGGAAATTGCGTATTCCACCGTGGATCCTTTCTCGCTTGGCCGATGAGTATGAATAGGGACCTCCTCGTTGGATTTATATTGACCAAACTACCCACCCTTTGGATGACTGTGAGTTGACATCGACGTCGGTCGGGCCACCCTTTGGATCATGAAATTTCATGGGGACGGATTGTTTTTGTTTGTAATCAGCACCTGAGATCCGGAGGCTCCGATTCTCGACCGTCGGGTAATGACGTCTGGTTTCTTTCGAATCAATCGATGGTGGGTGGGGTAGGAGGCGTAGGTCTCAGCGAGTGAGTGATGGATGGTGAGCCATTCCGCTTAGCATGTACATCCATCCACGCACGCACACAGCAAGGAATCCGATGCATCCGATCAGGTTTCCCCCTTCCGTTTAGGACAGCCACTCCATGCGCACAAAACCAAGAGCCGCACACAGGAATAATCCGTGGAATCCCGGTTGGGGCATCCCCACCCGATCAAATTACCTCAATTTCCCATTGCCGCGCAGCCGACACGTTGGTGCCATGTCCCAATTCCATCCCCAGCACACTCACTGATGAAGTAGAGCCTGTGTGTACGGGGAGCAATTCCAGAGTCGCCAGGGTGGATGGATAAGGACGAGGATATTATAAGCCAAGCATCTGGTCATTATTAATTGGTTATCTGCCACGACCATTTCGAGGCCCACTTGATCAGAAAGCTGTGTCGTCACACCAGGTTCCACACCCCCACGGGTTCAACACCTTTGCCTTTGGAATGATCAAATTGTAATGGGACAACAGAGGGCCAAGTGAGACGGTGTGTGGTCTACGCCTCTTTCCCTGTCGATCAAGTACCTTTTTTATTGGCAATCTAAGACGTCTGATCACAAGTTTGGTAAATGTGAGGAGACGTGTGGAGAAGCAAGAGCACGGTTTTAGACGGCGATTTGGAAGAGGGTTACGTTGAGAGAAGTGTGTGGTTTGAACGTTTGACTACAATCTGATGACTGTTTAACACTTCCTTTTATCTTTGAGTTTGTGCGGGAAATGGTGGTGGCACGACGTATACCATTCTTTAAATCTATTGTTACACTGAGGCCATCAACTCAGTTCGATTTGGTTCTGTGCGTAAAGTGTAAGTCTTTGCTCGGAAAACTAATGTGGAGAACTCTTGTAAAGAGCTAGCGTGAGGTATGAGTGTAGAGCGTCACTACCGAGAACTAGCATACAGGGAGTATGTGTGAGGTGCCATCGTAGAGAGCTGGCGTGAAGAACTGTGTGAAGAACTGTTGTAGAAAGTTTAGACGTTTGACATGGGCATAGAGAGCCACTACGAAGAGCTAGAGTGGAGAACTATTGGAGGAGTTGGCTTGAGGTGTGGGTGTAGAGAGCCGCCGTATAGAGATGGTGTATAAGGTGTTAAGGTGTTAGGCATGAGGCGCCAACATAGAGAGTTGGCGTGGAAAGCTTTCATAGGACCTGAAGCAGCTAATAAAAATTTTGTGTAATTATAATAAACCCCATTATCTCTATCTTATAAAAAAGAGTGGCCGAGATTTATATTTGGGCCTTTGGGTTTTCTAGCCGTCGCCTCCCTTTTACTGGGCCGATCGGTTAGCGTTGAGGGCAAAAGGGATAACTCACTTAGGAAGCAGCCCCTAGGGCTAGGGTTTGGAGCCCTATATAAGTATGTAGCTTCTATCTCTTTGAGAATAAGATCTACCTACATTTGCAATCATTTGGCCGACTTCTAAGAGGGTGGAACCTCTTTAGTGTTCCAAAGGTTGATCCCCCTCAAAGATAAATCTACATATAATTCCTTTGGAGTTCTATCATCTGGTATCAGAGCAGCAATCTTGCTGCTTTTCCTACCACCCTTGCCGTCCACCACAAGCCAAGAAATTCTCACAATTGCTCTTAACGTCATCATCTCCACCATCATCTTCTACCATAGATCAAATCAATCTACTGTCATCACCTCCAATTGCATCAAAGATCTGATATTCTCTTATCACCAATACATTTTACTACTGTAATTTTCCATTCAAAATACCAAGAAGATGTCTTTTTATCTATCCCGTGCTGCGAATTCCTTTTGTCGTAAAAGTTATCATCCTTACGGACGAATGATTGCTGTAGAAAATTTCAGTTGCATATTGTTGCCTTTAACTGATCTATTTGCTTGTAGCGGGTCTCAGCTTGACCATTTGGGCGGGAGTATGAGCTCTCCGTAGCGGGTCTTCGCTCAACTGCTTAGGCGAGAGAATGAATCTGCGGTAGTGGCTTCCATCATAGCAGGACTGGGCTCGACCACTTGGCGAGAGAATGAATCCGTAGTAATGGCTTCCATCGTAGCGGGTCTTTGCTCGACCGCTTGGGTGGGAGAATGAATCCATCGTAACGGGCCTTGTGTTGCTATTTTAGGGTTCTAGAGGTCCTGGGGGCGTGGCTTTTACTGTGGATGTCTATGGATGGCGGTATAGGATCTCGTATTGTTCCAAGGTAGATACATGCAGGTGTTATTTTGTGGAAGGTGAGCCATCTTCAGTGCCCGTTAGGCTACCCAAGGGTCTTTATATAGCATTTTGGCCCTGTTTTTAGTTTTGCTTATTTCTAGTTTTGGCCTTTCGTCGTCACCTGTTTCAATGTTGGGTCACTCTGTGCTTTCCCAGTTTGCTGATATGGATCCTTGCAATTTGAGGGAGGTCAATCCTCTTGTCTTGGAGCTGTAAAGTTCGCGAGAGGCGAAGCGCCAAGCCCCTACGAAGGTCGACCTAGAGTCATCCGTAGAATATTCTACCAACCTAGTCCCACTATAGGGACCGATACTTTCTGGAGGTGGTGTGATAGAACCCCGAGGGAATTCTATATAGATTGATTTTTGAGAGGGGATCAACCCTTTGAATGTTATAGGGGTTCCACCCTCCTAGAAGTCGGCCAAATGGCTACGATTGTAGATAGATCTTGTTCTCAAAGAGATGAAAGTTACATGCTTATATATGGCTCCAAACCCTGGCCCTAGATACTGCTTCCTAAGTGAGCTACTCCTTTTGTCCTCAACCCTATCCAACGACCTAGTAAAAGGGGGGGCGGCGGCTAGGAAGCCCAAAGGCCCAAATATAAACCTTAGCCACTCTTCTTTATAGGATAGAAGCGGCTAGGTAAGGTTTATTACAATCTCACAGATTTTTTATTAGCTGCTTCTTGGTTGAGTATGACCCAACCCTACTAGGGTTCTATCAAGCCCGCCCTCTCGAAATCAGCATTGTCCTCAAGACTGAGATTCCATGAACTCGGGGAACCGGATCTTCAGCACCTCATATAATTCTCATGTGGTGTCTTCGAGTGGTAAATTATTTCAATGTACTAGTACTTCAGTAGAGGGACATCGGTAACACATCACGATTCTGTGGTCGAGGATGGCTTGTGGTTGGGTTTGAATATCTCCATCATTAGTGGTGTTGGGCAGTTGGATCTGGGGTGACTCGTGTTATCCCAACTTGGGCTTCAAGCATGACACGTGGAAGACATGGTGAATTTTGGCATCCTTAGGCAATTTAAGTCTGTACGCCACGACTCTAATACGCTTTGTGATCTAATAAGGCCTATAAAAACATGAGAATAACTTTATGGAGGCTCGTGTGTTGATGGAGAGTTGCTTGTATGACTGTAGGCAAAGATAAACCCAATCTCCTACTGAAAATTCTCTTTTACTTCGTTGGGTGTCGGCTTACTACTTCATTCTAGCTTGAGAGGTAGAGAGATTATCTTTTAGCAATTGTAGGAGTTTGTCCTTGTCAATTAAATCTTGGTCGACCTGATCTACCTTGGCTGAGCCAATTACATACTTTGGAATCACAAGGGTCGACCGACTATATAATACTTCATATGGGGCACATTTTGTGGATGAATGTTATGCAGTATTATACCACCATTCGACACTGGGAAGCCATTTCACCCACTCCTTTGGTCGATCACTAGTGAAACACCGAAGATATGTTTCTAAACACCTGTTCACCACCTCTATTTGGCCGTCAGTTTGTGGATAATATGCTGTGCTCATCTTGAGTTTGGTGCCTTATAATTGAAATAACTCGATCCAAAATTTACTAGTGAAGATCCTATCACAATCACTTACAATGGACCTTGGCATCCCATGCAGTTTAACAATATTTTCTATGAAAATCTGAGCAGTACTAGCAGTAGTGTAGTGATTTCGCACATCATAAAAATGAGCATATTTCGTAAGTCGATCAACCACCACGAGAATTGTGCTTTTACTTTTGGAAGGTGACAGCCCTTCGATGAAGTCCATGGAGATATTAGTCCATACCAAGTCTGGTATGGGTAGTGGTTGTACCTTTCCTGGACTCGCCACTGTTTCATCATTTTGCTGTTGACATACATCACATTGTGCCACATATTCAAAAATAATTTTTTTCATCCATCTCCAATAAAAAATTTGCTTCACTCTTTTGTAAGTTCTCAAAAATTCGGAGTACCCTGCTGAAGGCGTAGAGTGCATTTCATGCAAGATAATTTTGATGCAAGAGGAGTCGGGTATAAGTATAATGCAACCTTTGTAGCGTAGATCCCTTGAATCCCAAGTGTAGTGGGCTATTACGCTTGGATCCTCCAATTTTTTTATGATGTTGCTAATCTCTGGATCCTTCTTTCATTCCTTCCTAATGTCTTCGAGTAAGCTGGTGGTAGGAAGGGAGATGGCTGAAAATTTAGCTTGCTCAGGTAGCCATGAGAATGCATCTGTAAAAACGTTTTCTTTCTCTTTTTTATAAATAATTTCATAATAAAATCCTAGAAGTTTGTTACCTATTTTTGCTGCTCAGGGGATGATATCTTCTGCTCCAAAAAGTACTTGAGGCTTCTATGGTTGGTTTTAATTTGAAATCGTCGGTCGATCAGGTAGGGTCTCCACCTCGTTACTGCGTGCACAATGGCGAGCATTTTCTTATCATATATTGATATTTTTTAATGAGGGAGACAACACCCTGTTGGTGTATGCGAGTGGTCGACCATCTTATAGGAGAATGGCTCTAATTCCGACTCTAGATGGGTCAGCTTCAATGAAGAAGGGTCGATTAAAATCTGGTAGTGCTAGCACTGACGTCGTCGTCATGGCTGCCTTAAGTTTGTCGAAGATAGCGGAGGCTTTGTTTGACCATTGGAAAATATCTTATTTCAATAGAGAAGTGAGGGTGCACTGATCTTCCCATAGTCCTTCACAAATTTTTGGT